GCAACTGTTTTCAACATTGATATAAATAAGAAATGTGTCTTGAGCAGCAAATCAGCATATGATTTCTGAAAGATCATGTGACATTGAAGACTGGAGTAATGATGCTGAAAATTCAGCTTTGCCATGACAGGAATAAATTACATTTGAAATTTATAACAATAGAAAACAATCGTTTTAAATAGTATTTTACAATATTACAGTTTTTACTGTATATTTAATCAAATATATGCAGCCTTTGTGAACATAAGAGACTTTATGTTCACCATAAAAAACATTTAAAAAAATTCTTACCCACCCAAACTTTTCAATGGTAGTGTATAGTAAGATAGGACCCTGCATTATTTGTCAATATGTTGGGTTTTACCTTCACAAATTCACAAAATTCCATAATGATGAATCTCTACTCAATTTGCCAGGTAGTTTAGATATATATATATATTTTTTTATATGGTTCCTTTTATAACTATTCCTTGTTGGCAAAGCATCAATCTTTGCATGTCGCTAAGCAACACCCAGCGACAGCAATTTTCCCACCACCTTGGCCAATCCAAATTGAGAAAATAACATTTTACAGGTATGTCATACGCACATTATGACATCCATATGTAGCGCCCCTGCTCTCTTCGGTAGTAGAGATATCAGACATCTTGTGACAATAAATCTAAAATGTTCTCATAAGAGGCTTAATGTTCTTTCTAATCTGAGATCATTCCCTTAAATGGGAGCACTAGAGGAGCAATAGTGGGAATTTGATTTATGAGCAAGGAAGAGCCTGTCATTTTGCTGCCTCCCCCTTTAATAAAACGATATGAAACCTGCCTTCATAAAAAAAAAAAGTGCAACTGAGAAACAGTAGAGCTGATATATTTCAGAAACAGATATTACCAGCACTGACACAGAGGATTGTCTTGTTTGATGGCATTATGTTGGAGATAAATGTTTAAGAGCAGAGGAGCCAGTAGAGCTATAGATGTGCCTGGATTATTACCCATGATCCAACTGATGTGGCTGCCAGAAACCAAGTGTGTGAGATCACTGATGGATGAGTAGCAGTCTATTCCATGTGAACAAACACCTTTTAAATTAACAGTGAAATGTGGGGGGTCAATAATACAGTCTTCAGAGCTTGTAGTTTCATAGATCTGCTGGAACACAGAGGTATTTTTTGTTTATTTAACATGGTTGCCAATTCTTGCTAGTACTATGACATTTCTATGAGGGAGCAGACGAGTTTAGTGATTTAGTATATATAGTTATGAGTTCTCTGATAGTTACGAATAATCAAAACTAGTTGTTATATTTGCTAACTTGTGCCTTGAGGGCACAATTTTTCTCTTAATATCGGATTACATATAGTACAGGTGCATCTCAATAAATTAGTATGTCGTGGAAAAGTTCATTTATTTCAGTAATTCAACTCAAATTGTGAAACTTGTGTATTAAATAAATTCAATGCACACAGACTGAAGTAGTTTAAGTCTTTGGTTCTTTTAATTGTGATGATTTTGGCGCACATTTAACAAAAACCCACCAATTCAACAAATTAGAATACTTCATAAGACCAATAAAAAGTCTCTAAGACTATGAGTCAAAGTCAAATAGTATATATGTAAATTGGGATCCAAATTTTAAAAATATTGATTGAAAGAAAAATATATATACCCTAATAAAAAAGTAATACTATATATTAAAAATAAATTTATTTCATACTAATTATAGTTTAAATCTATTAACATATTTACTGACATATCACTCGATACTTATAAAAATGATAATTAAACTTTATGTGGAGTACCACTTATGCACAATGCACATTTCTTAATATTAAGTCTAAAATGTGTTTTATTGTCACTATCGATGAGGATTGTATGAATAATATCAGTGCAAGATATTTCAAGTGTACCTGAAGTATACTTACAATAGTTCCACTTCAGCGCAATCAAATAGTTTACAATCTTTAGTTGTACTTTAGCACTACTTACGCACAACTAAAGTGCATTAAGCACAAAATTAGTTGTTTTGGCAGAAAATAGTAGATTTTGCATTATGATTGGTCAGATCGCCTGTCAATCAAACTCCCTGCCAAGGGCCAATTGCAGGCTATTTTTGTTAAGCACATAAATATGCAAATGTATTTTGTAGTATACTTGGTACAAAATAAATGTATTTAAAATACATTTTCATTTGTTTTTTTCACTAGGGCGTTATTTCATATATTTCAAATATCGCATTTCTTGTGATTTATATACACTATTGTTTAAAAGTTTGGGGTCAGTAATGTTTTAAAGTTTTCTATCTCTCTTACCGTGCGTTCATACCGCCGCCGTCCAGAGCGTCAAAGTGGCCGGAAGTCATTCATTTTCAATGTGAGCCGGCGTTGAGCAGCGGCGCGTCGCGACTTGGACGTTGAGGGCGTCGAGGAAAGTTGAAATCAGGTCAACTTTATGGTAATGAGCTATGACGCGGTTCGGCGGCAACCAATCGGAACGTAGAAGTCCACCGCTTGAGAGGATTCCAGAGAACGCAGTCCTGTAAACTTTGGTTCCGACCACATAGTTATACTCACCAAGCAAAAACATACACAAAATCACATTTTATGTTCCAGTTCACTTGTAATAATTTTTAAAAATGATTTACTGTCTCTCATTATGATGATGATAATGATAATGATGACGTTGTTGGTAAACAAAATCTCATCAGACATGCTGCTAGTGAATGAAGCAGTGCTGATGGTGCTTCCTTTGGAGGGAACGCCTTGGGCTTTAGTACCCTCATTAAGAAAAGTAGGTCAGGCAGCGTGTGTATATGTGTTCACCTCATGAGAAAGAAAGAAAGACATGCATGCATATATGAAGAGACGAGGCTTACTGTATCTGGCCTACTAATAGAGAAAGTGCCACAGAGTGAAGAGGACAATGAATATTGTATGGCTTGTGAAGAGGAGCCTGGGAAACAGGGGACGTGGGGAGAGTGGGGTTTTCTGGCCCATCCCCCAGCATGCTCTGCTGCAGCCAGCGGCACAGTGCAGACCTGCATGATAGTGCCAGTGAGAGAGGGAGAGATGGGTCAGACAGGGTTCCTGTGAGTTTAGTATTCTGCTCTGAGCTGTGGCACTCCGAGGGTTTACGTTCACGCTTGCACTGGCAGCCTCACAACCGTAGCCATGGTTACAGCATATTTCATGCACCAATCACAGAGAGAAAATCCAATGAGGGCTTTTTGTCTGCTCCACTTTGAAGAACCGTCTGCACTCTGGACATGCTGTATCATAATGCATTGTGGGAAAATACTAAAGGACGTAAATGATGCAGATAAACATACAGTATATACAAAAATCTTTATTGAGGTTTTAACAATCAGTGTTTATGCTATATTGTATATATGTGGGTTGTTTGAATGAATCTGCTGAAAAACTTGTATTTGAGAGCATTGTATCTGAATTTTGCTGAAATTCCCTTTTTCATTTTACTAATTTATTCACTTACACCTTAAAAGAGAGAGAGGTGTGTTATTATAGTTGACATATTTCTATGTAAAATAACCAAACAAATGTCTCCCAGTTGTTTAGAGGATTTTTTAAATATTTAATATTTACATATTTTATATTTATATTTATTTAAGTGTATGCGTTATATAAGTATTTGTCCAATACCATGAACAAAAGTGCTCAATATATTAATTAAAAACTAAAATAAAATGTCAAATTATTTATTTTCTCATTTTTATATAGTGCAAAAATGCAATGTATGTTTAAATGATTATATTTGATTTCATAAAATGATTTTAAACACCTAAGGTGCATGCTGTATGCATGTCAGGAATAAACATACTACTTTTTCATACTGATTCATACTAAAAAATTAACATATTAAATATATACTTTTATGTATATGTGTGTGTGTATTTTTATACATACATTGTATATTACAGTTAATACAAATACACACACACACACACACACACACACACACACTTGTTTGATAAACTCATACTGATTCATACTGATACATACTGATACATACTGAAAATAAACGTACTGCTTTTATAAATGAAAAAAGCACTTTAATTTTATAATGTAAAGAAATATAACTATTGTTAGTGATTATTGAGAAGTTCATGATTTTTATATTAATTCATTTTCCTTTAGTGGCAGTGATTTTCTGCATAATTTAATTAGTCTGAAATGTTTTAATCATTTTTTTTTTTCTTCGATAAGAAGCCACAATGCTGGAGACTGAAATGTACTGTAGCTGTATGAGTTTGTGTTTGGAAAGTCAAAGCTGTTTTTGGTGCAGAATTCAAGATGGAATGATTAAATCTTGTATATACAAACAGACACACAATCTGCTGTCTCATATATAATCACGTGTTCTTACACTGGCAGACTTTGCTATTATCAAAAACAGCTGAGCAAACATACACACAGTGACACATGCACACATGAATGAGGCTGTAGCTCAAACACAGGCTCCTCGTATTAACTTCAAACTTGCAGTTCTGTGCAAGTTAATGAATGTTCAAGAATGTAGTTCAAGTGTATGTGGTTGACAGTATTGTCTGCCAAGTCCTTTGTAAAGCAGTTGATGTGGTCTAGCTAAAGCAAGGCACAGGAGAGCAAGAGATATTAACATCTATCTGTCTATCTATCTATCTATCTATCTATCTGTCTGTCTGTCTGTCTGTCTGTCTATCTGTCTATCTGTCTGCCTGTCTATTTTTTTATACGTATAGTGTACTTATTACAGTGAATACACACACACACACACACACACACTTGATAACCTCATACTGAAAAATAAGATTTATTACTAAAAGCTCCATTTACAAGTGTTGTGATTTTTTTTTAAATATATTCATTCCATTTTAATTCTACTTGCTTGCATTCAAATCCAAATCAAATTAAAGTTGTGCATCCTGTTTGTTACCTCAATTCTCATCCAAAAAAGGGAATTGGCATTCTGACATCCGGTTTATGTTATTTTTGTGTGTGTTATTCACAGATTTTCACCACTGCACCATGCAGCTCTCAATGGAAATGTGGAGGTTATATCACTGCTGCTGGAGTCTCAGGCCATAGTGGACATCAGGGACCAGAAAGGTACCAGATATACATCAGTTAAAAGTGTTAACTTAAATGATATATTTGACCTGTTTTGGCACACAGATAAAAAAAATAAAAAGTATAGCTTTGGATCTCAAGTCTTTACAACCTGACACAAGCTTAACTCTAAATGTATGTTTTAGTCTAATATGTATTTTTTATATTTTGCAGTGCAGTAATATTAAAAGTCTTTCCTTTCATGTTCCAGGGATGCGGCCTCTGCATTATGCAGCGTGGCAGGGAAAGTCGGAGCCCATGAAGTTGCTACTGAAGTCAGGCTCCTCAGTGAACGGTCAGTCTGATGAGGGTCAGATCCCCCTGCACCTGGCTGCTCAGCACGGACACTATGACGTAGTGAGTGCACACTGCTACGACACCATGCCCACTGTTCTTCAAAGACTGCATATGAGCACCGGTGTATGAGGAAAAGATTCGGCATGCGGTTATGAATACTGACAACTTGGAACCAGAACCTGACGAGTAAATGCTTTGAAGCTAGATCATCCCACACACATGCATTTAATGAAAGGCACAAGGCAGACACTTTTCCTCCTCTCTGTCAGAGTTTCTACCGCCTAGTGAAGAAGCAGCTTCAATAGATACTATGGCTCTTATTTTCCCTTTTAAAGACTTTGGTTTTTGTTTAAATGTTTAAACATGAGATATAAATATGTCATTGTTTTGTGTGGCACTAAAGAGCTGGGAAGTGTGGCACTGTTTACAGACTGTCCTGATAGTCTAGTGAATCCATCATCCATCTCTGAAATTATGCGTATATAATAGGGGTGCACAAAAATAAAATTTTGATAAACATGCCAGTAAGCTGTTAATCATTTTTTAATGTTATGATTGATAGCTGATATTAAAATTGTGGTAATACTTTTTATTTTTGTGGACCGATTCTCACTATTAACTAGTTGCTTATTAGCATACCTGTTATTAACATATTGGCTGTTTATTAGTACTTATAAAGCACATATTCTGCATGACCATATTCTGTAGTAATATATCAAAATCCTTTGAAAATAACTAACAGCTGGTTACCTGTTCACAGTCTGAGATGCTTCTGCAGCACCAGTCGAACCCCTGCATAGTGGACAATGCTGGGAAGACCCCACTGGACCTGGCTTGTGAATTCGGCCGGGTTGGGGTGAGTATAAACAACATTTACCTTACTAACTATTAATAAGCTGTAATTAAGCGTTTATTGAGGCAAAATACGTAGTTAATGGTTTACTAATAGCGAGAATTGGACTTTAAAATAAAGTGTGACCAAAATTGTATACTATAATGTCTAAAATAATTAAATAAGAAAAATAATTTAAAAATAAATAAATGTAACAATAAAACATTGTGAGATTGAATAATTCTTATAAAGGTGACAACAAGTAAATGTGCTTAGAAAATAATATTTTCAATATCGGCCAATATCCACTGTTGACAGATACAAATAAATTAAGTTGAAATAAGTTATAAAAATGTAATAAATGTATATAAAATGTAAATGTTTATTTTATTCTATTCTATTCTACCATAATGGGACACACACACACACACACACACACACACACATATATATATATATATATATATATATATATATATAGTACTATATTGTATAAAATAAATAAGAAAAATAATAAATAAATAAATGCATGTAACGATAAAACGTTGTGATATTTTTATATTATTATATTATATTACCTGTTCACAGTCTGAGATGCTTCTGCAGCATCAGTCGAACCCCTGCATAGTGGACAATGGTGGGAGGACCCCACTGGACCTGGCTTGTGAATTCGGCCGGGTTGGGGTGAGTCACACGCTGCTTTTTTTGGCCACTGTCAAATTACTACTACATCTTTTTCCTGTCTCTAATTGGCTTTTGTGTGTGTGTATGATGGTCTGTTTGCTCTGCAGGTGGTCCAGCTGCTACTGAGCAGTAACATGTGTGCAGCTCTGTTGGAGCCCAAGCCCGGAGACTCGACTGATCCCAACGGCACCAGCCCGCTGCATCTCGCTGCCAAGAACGGACACATCGACATCATCAGGTGAGCGTTCAGAGCCCCGAGACTCAGATGGAAAGACAGGATGCATGGCTCGAATGCTTTTCTAAAAATAGAAGTCACACCTCCAGTGTGCTTTTCCAGATTTCAGACTGCCTGTGCCGGGTCGATGTTACACTTCTGTTTACCAGACACTGAAAGTAAATCAGGTCACTTTTTCAAGCCACTAAAACCTCTTGAGATAAGAAAACTTTACAACAAGATTGGACACTTTAGAATAAGGTTTCACTTACATTAGTTAGGTGTCATGAATTAACAATAAGCTAAATATTTTCACATTACTTATGAATCTAGGTTCATTTTTAAGTAACATAGTTCAATAAATTATGTTTCACTTAATTTATCGCGTATTAATACTACTACTACTACTACTACTACTTATAATAATAATAATAACAAATATTCCGTTTTTCATTTATTCATGACTGTTCATAATACATTAACTAAGGTTAACTAGAATTGTTAAAAATGGTTATGTAGAATGTAGAAATTAACATGTACATACTAAAATTCTTTAACATAAAGAGTGCATGTTTTTTATTAGTGCATGCTTTTCATGAGCTGCTGGAAGGATTTGCTCCTCATATATTACGGGCTATGATACATCACACGTAGAAATCTCTCGTAACACATCTGTAAACCTGTTGTTTGTGCGAAAGGAAATATATTTCCTGTCATGTCTAAGCCTGATTCACAGTCCACAGCAGCACGGCATAAGAAACAATCCATATTCTCACTGTGGCATCAACACCAAGGGATCCTGTTGAAAAAAACAGCATATGCTGGTTTGGTATGTTTTGAAGCATGTCAGCTGGTTTGAGCTGGTTTAAGGTGGTGAATCATTTATCAAGAGAGCACTAATACAATTATGTCTTGTTTGTGTGTTCACATATGTGTTCATTTTAGGCAGGCGACTGAAATATTTACCTCCTAAGTGTCTTTACATCTGCAGTTATAATCAAGCTGCAGCAGGTTTTTGCGTGGTCAAGCTACAGTCTTCATTTGTCAAGCCATAATACATAATTGAATTTTAAAGGAATAGTTCTCCTAAAAATAAACATTCGCTGAGAATTTACTCACCCTCAGGCCAGTTTGTTTCTTCGTCGGAACAGATTTGGATAAATTTAGCATTGCATCATGTTCACTAGTTTATCCTCTGCAGTGAATGGGTGCCGTTAGAATGAGAGTCCAAACCGGACAACAAGGAAAGCAAGACAAAGATACTGATTTAACAATAGGATCATTTACGTTGTTCCTTGAATCGCTCTGCATTTGAACTGAACCAGCACTTTTTTATTTTTTAGAGCTAAGAAAGTTGTTCTATTCATGGTCATAAACATAATCAAACATTGCAGCATGGATTGGAGCTCTGGGATGGAAATGTACAGGGGGAAGGGAAAAGCCTACATCATATTAATGCAAGTTTACTTTATGAGCCATTGGTGTGATGTGACGCTGGCCCCCGCTGTGTGTGTTTGAGTGTTAATGGATCCATGTGCTTGATGAAGTGAGACTCTGCAAACAGACGCGTTCTCACTGATGCTAATGAGCAGCCAATGAGCATGTGATGATGATGCAGGCGGCGTGTGCAGGTCAGAAGTGCTGGATTTACTGCCGCTCATGAGAGAGAAGGGGAAACAGTCAGTCACGTAACATGTATTACAATATCCATATATCACGTCATGTTCAACAAAGCCATTTCTGCTCTACTGGCACCAAGCAGAATTGCAAAACCAATAATTCCACAAAAACTCTGCCGTAGTTTGGAAGGGTGACCATATATCATCTCTTTTTCCAGGTCTTGTCCTGGCCGGGATTTTTAAATTGCCTAAAATGTCTGGGTTTTGGCTTTGTTTTCTTGTTTTTTTTTTAATACTTGCTTAAGGTAATAACTGAAACGTAGTTTTACCAATAGCATGCAGACATTGTTCATAATCAACCAAATGGTGCAAAGAAGGTGGGATTTACAGATAACGGTTAAAACAATACAAATACGCTTGCATATAATGTATGAGGACTCTAGAGAGCATGTTAATTGGAAAACAAGGCCAAAACCTGGACATTTTAGGCAATTTATAAATTCCAAGCAGGACATGTCTGGGAAAAAGGTTTTTCGAACAAGGTATTTTATGTTATTTTATTTTATTTTATTTTGCCACTGCCTTACTCAGTATTACAGTATAAGACATACAACTTCATGTTTCATCTCACCATTAATTTCCACACTCACCCATTTTGATTGAGCCATTGATCTCTCTCTCTCTGTGTGTGTGTGTGTGATGAGATCTGAGTATTATCAGAACTGGCCTGGAGCTGGAGAAATCAGCTAATTAAAGAAACTCTTTGATGAGCTGTAAGTCAATTATCATGTGACTTCCCATTGCATTATTATACAAATGCCCAGGGGTCCTCATGCAACTATTTACATTGGATGAGAAATCTATTGCTCCAAATCTCGGCTCAGCCGTGCATTTTGTGCATCGACATACAAGCTCAAGCGAGACACTGGACAAGCCATGTCCTCAGCATCACCTGCTGTATCTGTGTGCAGACAGCTGCACCTGCTTGTGATGAAGGGCATCTTTCCATCTTCCCACTGCTAGCATGAACACGGTTGAGTGTGCACGTCCCCAGCCATATTCTTCTGGGTTTGCCAGGCCCCATCCACTCCCTAATACAACACACTGCCATTCATCATTGTGACAGCCAGAGCCAGACCTCCTTCATTATCAGACAGAGATGAGAGGAAGATCAGAGGTATTCTGCACTGTCCTGCCTTTGTACCATCCTAATGCTACACTGCATGTCAGACATTTTACTGGACAACAATCAGACTGACACATTAATCACTGCATCATACAGTACACACAAATGTTCCTTATTTGATTGATCTATGTATAAAACCAATTGTATTATGTATTGTTTGCTTTTTTGATTTAAAGCCTCTGGTTATGATTATGATGATAGATGTATAGGCTCAGTCTCAAGCCCTGTAGTTAACAGGACTATCAGTGCAGTTGCCAATAAGGATCAGTACTAGGTGTCAATACAGATGTCTGTCAGTGTATATTCTAGAGCAGGGGTGTCAAACTCTTTTTAGGTCAAGGGCTGGCTTGGTATAAATATCACTTTAGGCAGGGCTTTATTTTGTTTAACCTTGGTGTACCTATAGAGAGTTCTTGTAGTTAATTAAAACTTAAACCTTAAAAAAACTGTTTTGATATGTGCATAAAATAAATGTTAACTGAAACAAAATAGAAATAAACAATTATTTCAACTAGTTGCCAAGAAAACATTTCTCATTTTTGTTTAATTTAACTTTATGTACTAAAAATCTAAAACTAAAACTGAAATTTTTAAAAACTATATTGCCATAATTAATTAATTTAAAATAATACGAATAAAACACACATCAAAATTACAAAAACTTTAATTAAATTTCAAATGAAAACAAAATATTAAAATCAAAACTAATTCAAAATAGTAAAACTAAATTATAAAAACTATAATAGGGTCTCAATGATACTAAAATAACACTTCTTGCACATAATGACATCCAGAATCAACTTAATGCTGCTTTAATAATATCCAATATAAGGTAAATCGAAATATCAAAAGGGGAGCACATAAAATTTAATCATTTCATTCACAAGAGGCTTTTATTTGTCTTAGGGCCTTTAGATCCAATTGATAACCACTAACTAGCATTGCTTTATTTTACATCTGTAGTCAAACCTGAACATAAGGTTTGATCTAAAAAAAATAATTTTAATTAGATTTCTCAAACTTCAGCATCAAATCAGTATTATTGCATTATATCTAAAAACCATGCAGTATGAAGATGTGAGCAATTCACAGTTTAGCCCAAATATTCATGGCAATAGTCATTATTGCCATGAGGGACTCAAACTTCAAAAGAGGAGCAATGAACTGAGTTATCCAGGGACACGTTGTTCACTTGAGTGCTGAATGTTGTGCGCAATTAAAAGAAAGCTTCTATCTCTTCAAAATAAACATGCTATATAACATGCAAAAACGTTAGTTGCAGAGTTTATCTTTCCTGCTGCATCTTAAAATATAGTATTATGAATATACTATACTAATATAAATAAATACAAATGCATGCTGGATTGGACTGCTCAGTGATCTGTTTTTGAGCTTTTAACCTTGGTGACATGAATTCTTGATTTCAAACCTTGAAGAACATTACCAACAAAATATAAAACGACAAGCTATTTGGCCCTAGATTGATCAATGTCTCATAAAGACTATAAGAGGGGCTCAAACATCTCCATGTGATCACCGGGTCTATCACTGCACATTTGACACTCGTCATTAATTAGCCTGCCTGGATTGTAAGTGTTGCTGTGTCGCACATTAGAATAAGACCCACGGACAGCAGCCCTCCCCGTCACATGTGCCCACACGTCTCCCTCTCTCTCCAGCTCTGATCGGCCTCGAGCTAATTATAGGCCACGTGACTGTGCAGGTTACAGCAACAGAGCGCGGGGCTATCGCAAGGCTGTTAATTACATCATTAATCCAGTAACCCCAAAGGCCGTACGCATTGGCCGGCCCTAAATAGATTGATGCAGTGAGGGAAAATATGAAAGCAGGCTTCATTTGTTATTCATATCTGTGAAAGAAATGGATCATGGCACCTCTAACCAGAGCTGTTACCTTCATATTAAAACGCTGTCTTTTAAACCCAGTGTCATGTAAGTGTGTTAATGCTCTCATACCTTTAATTAACACAGATGAATGTGGCCATTTGCCCACTAGCAGAAACCGTTTTTCCAATGTGGTCTGATGTTAAGTGACGGCTCAGCACACAGTCAGACCAGTGTGTGCACACCAGACCAGTCAATATGTTATTTGATCTGCTGCATTTTCCAAGGGAGGTCGAGCATGAGAGGGCATTATGTGCAGCTAAAACGGGTCATTTTGGCAGCTAATTATAGGGGGAGGTGTCTGATGCAGCGCCA